AGGGGTAATCGGTGCCCTTTGGGGCCTGATGACCAGAAGAGTCTTGACCAACAAGCGTCTGGCAGTGGGAAGGACTGGGGCTGCTGCTCAGACAGGGACAGTCTTTGGAGACCCCCCACCTCAGTTTGGGCAGGTGGTTTCCCCTGGGGAGTGGACAGATGTCACAGCTCCTGGACAGCCAAACCTTTCTGAGGCGGGAGGGGGTGACTACCTTGCTGGGGACAGAACTGTGGGTACCCCCCTCCCCCATCAACCGGTTCTGGCTCTGGAGGCGGCGCGTCTGTGGTTGGCTCTGCTAAAGTGGGCACCATGGTTCCTGCAGTGATCTGTGCCTGTGTGTGGATTCCCAGGAGGGATGGGGGGGGCTGGCTATCTGGTCTTGTGATGCTTGTGGGGGTTGCTCAGAGGTAGTCAGAAGGGATTGGGCGCAGGCACCAGGGGCAGCCCTGATGCCCCGCCCTGATGCGGTTAGTGCATGGGTAGGGACACGTGTAAGCCATGGCCAAATCAGGGGCTCAGCAAGAAGGGGCTCATGGCTTCCAACAGGGCAGCCCACCTGAAGGAGTTGTCCCTGCTCCTTGTCGTCAGGTGGTCAGCAGCTGCTCCTTGTGGGGTGCGAGGTACCCAAGCCCAGGTGAGGGATGGGTGAGCTTGGTTTAGTCAGGGCTGATGCTGGTGGTTAGAGAACCCTGGCCTCTCCGGGCAGTGCCTTGTTGGTCCACAGAGCCCCCTCACTGCCCCCCACTGTCCCATCACGGGCGTGCTGGTTGAGACGGGACTGATGCCCACCTCACTGAGAACTTTTCCGCAGGTTGGTTCCTGTACACGTTAGGCCAGAGAGCCAAGATAGGCGGCCTGCGCGAGCCCTGGTTTGTGGTTGAGAAGGACAGCGCCACGGGTGACGTGTTTGTGGTGAGTGGGCTGCACAGAGCCCAGTGTGTGTGAGACCACGCGGGGCTGCCAAGTCCTTTGGGCAGCAGTGCTGACGGGCACCCGTCTCCCCTGCACCCTCCCGGGACTGGCCCGGGCACCAGGGGATGCTGTTTAAGGTACTTTGTAGGTCTTACTATGTGCTGGTCCCTGTTACCGTGTTGGTCCCATAAGTAGGTCCTATTCCAGAGCTTGCAGGAGGACAAGACTCCAAGATGAGTCAGTGGGCGAAGGTCCTGTTCAGAGGTGGTGGCTGCACACAGATCCCAGCAGTTGCTGTGGAGTGATGGCAGCAGGGAGCCAGGACTGAGCCAGGTTGTGACCCTGGCCCCTTCCCCAGGCCCTGGTGCTGGGAAGATGAGCTGGTGTCACCTTGCCCATCACAAAGCCAGGAGACCTTCCTCACAGGCAGACCAGCCACCCTCGCCTGCCAGTTCTGGGACATCTCCCTCTACAAAGGGCTGGGGGCAGAGAAGCTGGGACAGCGATTCCAGTTACTCGCGAACTAAAGTGATTTTAGTGTAAAATTAGTGGTCTTCTCTGCTTTGGGAAAAAACAGGAGGGTCCCTGCAAAGGTCTCCCTGCCTACTTAGAGCCCGAGCCCCAGGACTTAGCGCTCCGGGGCCTGCCTCAGAGGGGCGGCTGCTAGATCCTCAGAGGCCAGGGGCGCCTGAGGGTCAGGGACAGGGTCCTTAGGCGCAGACCCCTCAGCCGGTCCGGGACCCAGCACCATCTGTCCGTCCTTCCTGAGCCACTGGGCTTTGCTGGGATTCCTGCAGTGGCCTTTCTGAGACCAGCCAGACACAAAGCAGGTCATGCCCCTGGTGCTGGCCCAGGCAGGCTGTGGTGGGCAGAGCGAGACGTGGACTTGGAGGAGTGCTGGTCAGGCCATGGGGTCGGATCGCAGGCACCTCTGCTCGCAAAGTGTGACCATGACCTGTACCTGTACCTCTTCTGCAAAATGGGGTCAGAAGGCCCCTGAGAGAATCACACATTTCCCGTCAGGCACCCCATTGTCAGTGCATGTTTGCTGCTAGGATTGTTAATGAGGGACAGTGAGTGGCTGTGGGGCAAGGGGTCTGCTCTGCTAAGGGCCCCAGGGCATCACCATCTTTGTGTTCACTCTGCAGGCTCCCCGGACGGACCACCCTGCCCTGTACAGGGACCTGCTGCGGACCAACCGTGTGCACTGGATCGCAGAGGAGCCGCCGGCGGCCCTGGTCCGGGACAAGATGATGGAGTGCCACTTCCGGTTCCGCCACCAGATGGCGCTAGGTAACTGAGTGGGTGGGATCTGCCCAGAGAGGCCAGGTTTAGGGGTGGCCTTCGAGGTTAGGCCTGGGGCAGCAGTCCCCCAGCGTTCAGATTATATGCCATATTCAAACCCCCTTTCCCCTGCCCATGAGGGAGACAGGCCGGGGGGTGCAGAGGCTCAGCTGACCTTTATTGTGGGTACAGGGAGGGTCCTGGGAAGGCAGTGCTGGGCTGGGGTCCAGGTGTGTGTGTGTCCCATGGCCTGGGGCTGATCACACAGGCTAGGCCAGTGTCCCCTCAAGGCCATCTCTTCCCCCCAGTGCCCTGCGTGCTGACGCTTAATCAAGATGGCACCGTGTGGGTGACGGCCGTGAAGGCGGTGCGGGCCCTCGCCCCAGGGCAGGTGAGTGGGGCAGCCAAGCCCGTGCTGTGCTCCAGGGGGAGGCAGGACTCCCATTTTGTGGCCCAGTGGGCCCTGGTATGGAGATGGGTTCTAGCACGGGCTTGGCTGCCCCAGATGGCGCCCGTGGGCTGGTCGCCGGTGGGCTTCTGCTGGAAGGACAACACTGTACTTCCCACCAGAGCACCTGGTCACAGGTCAGGGGCAGTGAGGGTGGGAGCTGTGGCCAGCCCACCTGTGCCTGACACTCCTCTCCCCACCACGGCCACTGTGCCAACATAGTCTCTTCTTGGCCAGTGGGACAGCCCAGCTGCGCTGCCCGGCCTGCCTGTGGTCTGGGCGCAGGGCAAGGACAAATCTGGGGGAGGCCGAGCACTGTTCCTCCTCTGGCTCCCCACCCCAGCCCAGCAGCCTCAGCAAGGCTCCTGGCTGCTCTGCAAGCTCCCCAGTGTGAGTCCCACTGGTGACACAGGTCCCATTGGTGACTCAGGCCTCTCCCTCCAGTTCGCCGTGTTCTACAAGGGTGGTGAGTGCCTGGGCAGCGGGAAGATCCTGCGCTTGGGGCCGTCTGCCTACACGCTGCAGAGGGGCAAGAGCACATCCAGAGCAGCCACCGAAGGCTCCAGCGACAGCCCAGGCTCAGGTCCCACGCTCTGAGCTCCAGGAGTGGATGCGGAGGAGCAGGGCAGGGAGTGGGGTGGCCAGGGCAGTTCTGCTGCTGGAACCCAGGAGCCTGGCTAACCTGCTGCTCAGGAAGAGGCCAGAAGGACTTGCTGACCAGTGGGTCTGTCCCAAGTGCCCCGTTTATACTGCCCCGTGGAGGGGCTGCAGGGATGGCGTTGAATAAATTTTGTCCTGCACATGGATTCTCACAGCAGCCTCTGTGAGCACAGGGAGGAGGGCAGGACCCCACACAGTGGGACTTACCTCGGGTCTGCTGGGACGACCACCCTTACTCCTGGCACCATGCCCCCTCCAGCCTGGGGTAAGGGGCTCGCTGGGTGCTGGTCCTCAGGACCCCACAGCTGGCTCAGCATAACCTCATGTTGGGGTGACAGGCTGTGGTTGGGGAGCTTTGAGACCAGGCCACTGAGTGGGGCTGACAGCTAAGTGCCAGCCCATCCCCCAGAGGCTGACAGAAGCTGCCCCACCCCAGGTGGTGCGCTCGCTTCACAGTGGGGCCAGTGCGGGGCCAGGGACTCGGCCTCTACCCCACGAAGTGGGCAAACCCTGCTGGGAGGACAACATGCCTCAGTGGGGACTGAGAAGACCCTGGCCCACCCCGATCCCAAGAGCCCCCATGGGCTCACTCATGTGACAGGGTGGAGCAGAGAGCTGCGGCTGTTGAGGGGCAGGGATGGTGCCCACAGAAGCATCTTCACGCCACCTGACTAGAGGAAGCAGTGCCACCTGCAAGTGGTGAAGCCCCAGCCCTCCGTTCCCCAGCCCCCGCCCTCCACACCACT